ATTTCAAAAAATCAGATACATAGCTCATATGCTTTTTGATGAAAAAATATCAGTCTGTCATCTCAATGTAAATTTTTGTGATGATTAAAAAGTATGGAAAATGTGTATGAAAAAAAAATTATTCAAATTAAACATAATTTTACAAAAATCGATCTCCGTTTTTATTATTTTTAGCCCACCGAGTTTATAGTAAAATTCATATAAAGTTAATGTTTTAAAATCTTTAGTTTGTATAATTGTTTATTTTCTTACGTAAAATTACATGGTAAAATAAAAAAAAATAAGAATTGAAGTCCATGTCAACCTCAAGTTTCCACGTTTTCCCATAACCGCGATACTTTGAGACTCTCCAGTTTAGGAGTTAAAAATAGACTTCAACTTAGACGATGCAAGCTTGGGAAATAATTTGATACTAAAAAGTTAGGCCATAGTTTGCATTACTAATATCATTTTATGAAAGTTAATTTAAAAAAATCAAAATACACTTTTTATGCAAAAGATTTAAGTACCGCGATATAATGAGACGCCTGTATACAATCCAGTCATTAATTTTCTTTTTATTACATGCTGTTGTTCCTTGGGAGGTTTCAAGGCGTAAGCCTGGGTAATAAAACAATTTATTCATAAAATGCTTTTATTTAAATGAAATGAATACAATCGTTTTTTTTTTCGAATTTCTCTAACTTGCCTTTGAATAAAAATAGATACTCTTTCATCAAAAAATAATATAGATTATATTGAAACACCTTTGATAAATAGTGAGATATTTTTTAGCGTTCTACAAATCTGATTTTAAATTTTTGAAATAAAGAAAACAAACTTCACATTTAATCTGGAAAGCATATTTTCGCAGTGTATCAAAATTGTTAATTATTAATTTCATTCAAACAACAGTATTTTTGGACAGGAACACCATCCACCAAAGGCACTTATTTACCTTTGTTCTTTAAATTGAATTGTAGTTTTGCCTAGGTTAGCTTATGCTCGTTAGAAAATTTTCTATTGTTACATATGCTACCACGCAAAAAAGGATACGCTCCCTTTCAATGTCTTTTGAATTTGGATACAACAGATCAAATTTTATCAATTTTTAGAGCAACAGGATTTAAAGCATCAAGTCATGTCGTATAGGCGGTGTTAAAAAACATTCTAGAAAAGATACTACTAATCCTTATTCATAAAAATAAAATAAAGTTTTTTGAGTATAATATAAATTTTTCTTGTCCTTTGCTGTAGAAGTTGATGTCAACGGTTCATTTGCATTTGACATTTGACGACAATGAGGGACTCATTTTTGATGATTGGATACCATTGACGTATCAGAACTGGAATCCTAACGATAGGGGCGAGACATCTGTGACGTATCAGAACTGGAATCCTAACGACGAAGGCGAGACAGCAGTTGACCCAATCTTTGGTCTCCTTTTGACTTATCATAACGACGGTAGGTGGCGTTGGGTGACGGAGAGAAACTACACGTACTATACGGGAGAAGACGGACTGAAACTTCCCTTTATTTGTGAGGATTTCTCTTTTGTTTGGAGCCAGAAGAGTGTTCTGTAACATAATGTTTCGTTTTCTTTCAATTAAAATAAACATTTGGAACCATTATCTCTTTTAATATATAATTTCGTTAAGCATGGTATTTAAAGTTCTAAATCATTAAATGGAGTCCTCTTAAGTTTACGTCGGATTGTGTATTCGTCGCTCGGAAGACATCTGGATTTATCCTCGAATCATATATGCGTCTCCTCGGAAGAGATCTAGATTTAACCTTGGATCGTGTATTCGTCTCCTCGGAAAAGATCTAGATTTATCCTGGTATCGTATATTTGTCTCCTCGGAAGACATCTAGATTTATTCTCGGATCGTATATTCGTCTCCTCGGAAGACATCTAGATATATCCTCGGATCGTATATTCGTCTCCTCGGAAGACATCTAGATTTATCCTCGGATCGTATATTCGTCCCCTCGGAAGAGACCTAGATTTATCATCAAGTTTAAATAAGCTATGAATAGCATATACACAAAGACAGACTGTGCATTATATTGCTTCGTTATTTTCCCAAGGAAACTTACTGGGATCTCCTCTCATCATACATTCAAGCATTTTAGCACAATGTGTTGTTTTTAAAATTTCTATCCGTAATCCAAAAAATAAGGGGCAAACATATTTTGCTGTGAAGGTCGGCTCAGTTGTCTGTTTTTTTGTGATCTTTCTTCCCTGATTTATCTGTAAGTGGGGAAATCAATGGGCCCTGACTTCAGCCTTTAATTGGTTTGAGCTATGGATTTCATATTTCACAGGTTTTTTTCATTTTGGAATTTGGAATTTGAGCCTTGGACATATGAACATATGAACTATTCACTGGTGTATTCCACGTGATAAATCTTTTCCCTGGGTAAAAGTATTTTTGACTCTGAACTTAATGTTTGACTCACGTTAAAAGAAATTTTCAAAGTTTTAATGTTAGCGTAGCTACTACACGGTTAAATCAAGTGATATCACCTCACGCTTATATTTTGATAAGACCTTCTCTTGAGTACAAACAGTAATGACCTTTGACCTTGATCTTATGGATTTGACCTACTTTTCAAAAACGTTAACTTTGGACGTATTTACTGAAAATTTAGTACAAGGGGTTAACTATGTTACCGGTTCATTTCTTGTGGTAAGAGCTTCTCTGGAATAACAATATTTTTTTTTCTTTTTCATCCTTTTAGTTTGACATCAGACTTTGACCTTTTTTGAAAAACTTTGGTGATAACTTTTGAATGGTTGATTCCGTGACATTTATATTTCACCTGTGTATTCTTTCTGAAATTTTTTTGTGTATCATCAGTATTGACTCCTCGACCTACTTTTGAAAATCTCTAATTTTGGTCATAATTACTGAACTGTTGCTGCTTTTATGGTGTTTATTTTTTTGAAGGTAGACTCATTGTGAGGCACTTTTCTTTTGGTACCAAAACTAGTTTATATTGACCTTGGTGTTTGACCTGCAAACGACAACATTAATCATAAGCCTGTTTGTTTCACAAACTTATCTTGAATTTTAATCATTAGCTCCTAAAACTTCCTATTGATTTAATAACAAATTTCAAGTTGTCGTCTATCAAATTTTCGGATATACTAGTATATAAACCATAGTTTGCACATTGCATAATAGAGTATGACTTGTCACACAAACTGAATCATTTTTTTTTCAAAAGATGTAGTCTCATAATTGCAAAAGTATTTGCAAACATATTGATTAATGTTAGCTTGCAAAGTTTTATTTGCAAAGGCAGTTGCAAGTATAAGACAACATCTTTCAAAAAATAGTAAATTAGTGCTTATTTTTTTCTAACTCCTTGTCTTGTTTTGCAATTTGATTTCTTTTTTTAACTTACTTGAGTTATCTCTAACCTAAATAATAAATTAAAATGATTTCAAGTTTTGCTTTTAACGTGTGTGACGTCCAAATAAAACGCATATTACACATGTAACCTTTTAATCCCCGATCTGTGTTATGGTGTTTTGAAATAAAAAAAAAAAAACACAATAAAAAATTACAGGATCGGTATAAGTTTACTATAACGTATATTGTGCATTCAAGAGCAGAAAATCTATTTTTTAATGATTATCTGTAGCAATAGAAGATATTGATTGTCAGAAAATGGGATTTTTTTTTTTACTTTAAGCTCATCATCTGGTATCATTGAGAATCTAGTATCTTCGCGTTTCTTGCCACACCTAAAATCAAGATATCTAAATATATTTATAGTAAAATTAGACTTGTGGAAAGAAATATTCAGTACACATCTCTTCAACATTTTAGCTTATTTTCTCCATGATATTAAAAATAACAATAATTTCAATTTAAGCGGTTTCAAGTAGATTAATGGATAATTAAATGCTCATCAATTAAAAATACTGCATGGATGAAAAAAGATGGGGATATGTTATTAGAGAAGTATAATCATATATGTATTGTACCACAAAACATGACAATCAAATATACCTATGATTTAAAAAAAAAATATCTTAACATCTTTATTACAATGAAACTTGTCTTATCCGACATGCACGGGGAACAGATTAAAAATATATGTGTTGGAATAAACAAGGTGTAGCATTGCAGCATGTAAAGATCATTGAGATAAGTATAAATGACAAATGAAATTAAATGGCTGAAATCACAGTAAAGAGTATTGCATGTGTCGGATTAAACAGGTTCCACTGTAACAGGTTTAACAATAAAGTAATCTTCATCCTAATTCTCTGTCCAGTTATCTCCATTTATCAGTGTTTTGAAAAAAAACCCGAAATATTTCTATTTTCAAATTTATTACAACACATATAAAGTACATCTTTTACTGAATACATTCAGTATCGCTTTACAGAGCAGTTCAACCCCCCTTGTTTTACTGTTTGTTACTTGATGTTAAATATTTAAAAAAAATTAATTTAAAAAATCGTCTCTTGTGGGTTTCCATAATCCATGGATTATCTTTCGCCTGTTAAAAAATTTATATTAATACTTCACAGAGAAATGTATGATAGCATATTTTTTTCTATTAAAAATCAACTTTTATAACTGAAATTTTTACAGTAATACAAAAAAAATACAAAAATAAAAAAACTCTGTTATATTATATTAAATGCTGTTTACCTAGCGACGCCTGATCATCAAGAAAGTCTCCTTTATCTGTCTATTATCAGTCACTGTGGGATACCATGGTCTGAACCAGTCTCCCGGGGACCATTGACCGTTAAGGAAAACGATGGCACAGGAGTTAAACCACCAGCCCCCTCTACGTGTACTGTGAGCAGCACAGTGATCACTCCACCCGTCATTGTCTCTGTCCGGGGTACTAAAGTACATCCCAGACAGATCACCGGCAGAATTACCAGTGTGTATCATAGAGTCCCCTGTAAAATTAAACAAAAAGAATCACAGATATATCTTCAATTTAATTGTCAACAATACTACTGAGGTACTTCTAAGAAAGACGGCTAAGGGTGCGGGAAAGAGAAACAATAAATAATTAGTTCATTCCCAGAATCCCCGGTGTCTATCATACTGGCACCTGAAGAATTAGAGAAAATATAGAACAAAGATTATCATGATTATAAGTATTAATAATTAATTTTCATACTGAAGTACGTCTGAGATACACAGTTTAAAGAGAGGAAAAAAATACAAGTCAACAAAACACTGCGCAATTCACATAGCATCATTTCTTGTGTAACAATAAACCAATGGTGTGTTACACATTTAAAGCATGGTAATATTGGGGGGAGGGATAAAGGTCACGGGAAATTTTAGAAAACAAAACAAAATAAAATTTTAATATTTGTCCGAGACCGTAGAATACTAAGTAAATCATTAATAAAGAGATAAGATGGCAGAATTCCTATTAAATGAATGGAAATGTGAAACGGGTTTAGGTCTTTAAAATTTGGCTTTTACGCTTTTTTATATGAATATTTATCCGATCAATTTTTTTATCATCAAATTTTCGTAAACCTGTAGACATTTAAGATTCACGAGGCACTGTTAACTTCCTATTCCGTAGTAGTAAAAAATGTGAATCATTGAAAATCAGACTATCATGCTCTGTAAAATTATTCCGTATTAGTTAAAATATGAATTATCAAAAATTGTCTGGAAACCCAAGCTGAAAGACAATGTTGAACAATTGTAATTATTGGATTTGTTTGGTATAAAAAAATTTAACATTATTTCCCTTGTACATAAGATGTATAATTAGAAATTTTATCCACTTGACAATAACCAAATCCAGTGTCTTCTCAATTTGTGAATTGTACTTGCAAATGATATTTTGAAATATTAAACATGTTTAATTAGCATGGAATCAAAAACGTATGCAGAATTTCAGAAAAAACACATATCTCTCTTTTTTCAAGAACATTATTATGTGCCAATACAGAAAAGAATAATTAATAGGATATATGTAATAAGTAATATACGTAATTTGAACATAATTTTAAGAACTTACATGTAACATAAATACATTTACCTAAGGTCCCCGTGGCAGGTCCTGCAAGAAAGAGTTGATATTTTCCTGCTTCGTCGGAGACAGAGAATCGGTCGTACATTTCATACAGTTTTGTACCATTCTGGAGAGTGATGGACACATAAAGGTATGATGAGTTTTCTTTTGTTAATTTATGAATTACGTCATTTCCTGTATTAAGATATATTTGAAATTATCTGAAAAATTCATCGAATACAATAAATTCATTTAAAATTATAAATCTACCGTTATGAAAAATCAAATTATTTTCCATAGCTGTAGGCAATATTGCTACATTTGGTCTCATTAGAATATGCCGCTAGATGATTTAATTTAAAATTAAGATCTTTATTACGCTTGATTATTTTTTACCTACCAAAAGAATGTTTTTATCTTCAAACTTTGAAGAAATAAAAAGTTCTTATTTGTAAGCGATTTACACTTACCAATCCAGACATTCTGTTCTGGTAAACCGAAACCATTCTTATAATCCGGCCAGTTCCTGTCAAAACTCACTGATCCGTCTACGCGTTTCTGAATGGCCTTTGAAAATTAATATGCATTACAATTCAATTTATTGCTTCGAACATTCATAGTATCCATAGGTTATGATATAAACTACTATACAATCCTACAATCCTTAAAACCACCAAAGAATGCGTATTATATTAAGTAATTTTAATTCTAATTAAAACAACCTACCGTCCACCCCCCGCCCATTGTGGTCATATCGCAGAAAACACGGACCGGTACTGTTAGTGTGCGGTAGGGGTATATATCATACACTCCTGTGATAGTTTGTCCTTTTTCTCGAAGATCCTTGCAATCTTTGGGCGTGCTAGTAAAAACTTAAAACAAAAATACCAGAATCATACAATGTATAGGTACAAAAAGTAAGAGAATGTATAATGCCTGCATGGTATATATATATATATATATATTATATATATATTATATATGTTAATTGTTGAGGCTAAAATGTTAATTACATGTATAATGCGTATAATGCGTATTATGTTAAACTTTTCCTTGTTATCAAAAATCATTCTTGTTTTTTAATTAATAAAGATCTTCGATTTATGACATGACTAAAAGTATTTATAATTAAACACAATCATTTTCAATACTCTGTTGACTGAAAGAAATGTGGAAGAGAAATTGATTGTAGATAAGATGACAAACAATTTTGACACAAAAATAGATGTTGAAAAATGAAGTAAATTCATGATATCGTTTCGATGTATGATCGATCGACAGGGAATGTTTAATCCTCCGTGGCACAGGCCAACTGTTTTCAGGATTCACATCTTACATGTGTAGCTTTCAGAACGGCTGTTTTTAACATAGAAATCTTGAGATACTAGCTAAAATGAGTTTTTTTTTTCGTTTATTTAGTTACAAAAAGCCAAACTTTTCCAATGGTTTGGACTGATCATTGTTACAAAGCTTAAATGAATATTACTAAATGCTCACGGTGTAGAAATTTTATCTTATGTTTTCCATTACATGCTAAGGAATATAAAAAAAGGAGAAAATTGACAATAGAGAAAATCACTAATATAATTCAATCAATCTCAAATTAAAAAAAAGAATTCCAAATAAAAAAAAAGATATATAAAGGAAAAAAAATCAGAAAAGAGATGAAAATGTCATTAGAATACATTTTTTTTGAAAATACAATTGTTTATACTAGATAAAAAGAAGTGTCAAAGAAAAATAATCGGGTCGCTTCGAGAGGGATCTAAGAAAAACAGAGAAGCAAACAGAAAGATTAAAAAAAATTACAAATATACATACCGTCATCAGAGTAGTATCTCCAACCGGCCTCATCAGACAGCTCAATCGTAAGACTTTTCTTGTGGGTGCGGCATTTCTTCATTTGATAGCTGAAACCAAAGAAGCCGCACTCACTTTGACACAACGCAGCGCACTCGGTCAACGAATGAACATTGTATTCCCCTAAAAGTTCATAATTTGATTTCTTATCATTAAATTCCATTTTCGTGGTATATTTCTGAGTAAAAATGGTAGCTTTAGATAAAGCTAAGAAGCCTACAATTAAAGTGATAACCCACAGACTGCCCATTTTTTTTCTTTCTTAAGAGAAAAGACTGATGTGTTCTTGTGAATCTGTGATATTCTGCCGAATGGTCCTTCTACAGCCAAATATATATGTCGTACCTTAATCAATGCCTGAAAAGCGATTGGCTAACTGTTACGTACTCTATATTTTACAGTTGTTTAAGTATCGATTTTATTGAATCTAATATTAATTTTCATAAGTGTATATTTTGAAATTGCATTTTAAAAAATACAATAAACGTGTGCTTTTTATTTTACTGACTAATACCTGTTATGTTGTGATTTTTTTTTCATTTGTTATCTTTGAAATGAGGATTTATAATACTGGTATATATTATCTTGAATGAAATTTTAAAAAAAAATCAGCTCTTTCGAAAGAAAGTCTCAAAGAAACAATTATTTGATGACATTATTATGATTCTCAGAAATTATTAAAAAAATATACTGATTAATCAAACTTTTATTTATTAGCCTCCAAATGTTCATATAACACAATACATCATCATTGCTTTATTAACTTTTCAATCAATTTCAAAGGACCACAACGAAACATCTAAGAGGAACGTTGACAGCACCGAGCACATCTTATAAACTGAAACTGAATCCGATTTATTTAATCAAACGCCTATTTTACATCAACATATTCAATGGCGTTGTAGAAAGTCTGTATAAAAATATATTAACAAATAATATTGTAACAGGCTGGCCTTAAAATATCCTTATTTCCATTGTAGATGTTTCACACAGGAAATCCATATGTTCTTTATAACTGTTTATTAACTTTCATCGCAAACATAAATAAACAAGTCAACATTTGATGCACAAAACTGTGTTGGTCCCTTTATCAACATACACACATTTTGTCAGGGTCTCATGAGTGATGGGAGATAGCTCAGTATAAAGTTCTAGGTATCCATAGCCAAAATGGGATTTAAAGGGGAATAACTCTTATAACAAAGAGTGTTGTACCATGCAGGAGTAATAGATGTGGAGAGTAATAATAATTTACATTATAAGAGATTGTCAGTATTTCACTTGTCAGGAATTATATTGTCAGGAATTTTGAGTGTCAGGAAATATGTTTTCAGGAATCTGGGTGTCAGGAATTCTAAGTGTCAGCAATTTTGAGTGTCAGGAATTTATAAAATGTCAGGATTCTGGGTTGCCAAGTTATGAAAACAATCTTTATGCTGAATAATAATTAGAACTTGTCTTTATAAAAATTATGATCTTGGTTTTCAGAATTCATCATACCTAATAAGATAACAATTAGTCAAGTGCTCAGTGGAGCTATCTGACAAAACTGAGAAATTGCCTCACTTATATAGCTTTTCATCTAGAAACTAACCAATCAAAATGCTTCATTTCCCTGACAATCCTGACAGGCTTAAATTATTATAATTCTAACAATTAAAAACAATCATATATTACCAAATTATCCTGTTAACTATAAATTCTCTATACACAATAAAATGAATGCATTACTTACTTAATAAATCAAGAATTAAACAATTCTTAACAAAGAACTATCTCTTATGATGTAACTATAGTAGACATCAGTGATTAGGTAATATTCTTGAGCAAGATAAATAGTGCTAAATGACAATAATTATAAATAGAGAGATCAAATCTACAGGTATCTTTTAAATAGTTCAAGTTATAAAAACTATAATTTAACTGTAATTTAATAGGAATCTACTTGTACTAGCTTTACATTATCACAAATCCAAATTATTGCGCCAAGTGAACTATTTGATGATGTCATACAATGGCGGCCTACATGCACTGACAGTAGATGTCATGTCATAACAAATACAGTGTGGATTACTTAATAACATCACTGAAACTCCTGTAAGTAGATTCTTATATTCATTGATAATAAAATCTTAAACAATTTAAGAACATAGCCTTGTCAATCTATAAACAAAACAAACATGGCATGATTCACGGAATATTCCGAGAAGTACAATGACTTGAACTTGAAGTTTTACAAATAAAATCTACCCCCCTTTATCTAATAGAGTAATGAATATTACAATATATATAAATATACATGGATACATGGAACGTAATGAAATTAAAATAAAGCATAAAAGTCCCTAAAGTAGTAACTTTTTATTAATTTTTTTTTTTAAAATTCATGAATTGATTTTGATTTTTTATGTACAAAAGCAGTAAAAAGCAGGACTTAGGACGTATACAGGACCTAGCACACCTCGGAAGAATTTAGACAAAACCGCGCTCATTATAACAGCTCGTAGACAGCACCGAGCACATCTTGGAAGAATGTTGACAGAACCGAGTACATCATAGAAGCTCGTAGACAGCACCGAGCACATCTTGGAAGAATGTAGACAGCACCGAGCACATCATAGAATCTCGTAGACAGCACCGAGCACATCTTGGAAGAATGTAGACAGAACCGAGCACATCATAGAAGCTCGTAGACAGCACCAAGCACATCTTGGAAGAATGTAGACAGAACCGAGCACATCATAGAAGCTCGTAGACAGCACAGAGCACATCATAGAAGGGCGTAGACAGCACCGAGCACATCTTGAATCTTATATTAACATTTCGACTTTAAGGACAGATGACACGAACTAACTTTTATCAAAAACTACTAAAATGACAACTAGAGTTATCTTTTAATGAATGAAGGACATGGAAATAACGAACAGTATTCAATCTCAACGTCCATTAAACAAATATACAAAATAAGAGCAGAGCAAACACGGACCTCCGAAACATCAGAGGTGGGATCAGGTGCCATGGAGGAGTGAGCATCCCCTGCCGACCGGTCACACCCGCTGTGTGCTCGTTGTCATAATCAGGAAATAACGGAAAAAATCCGTGGTCAATTCAGTGTATAAATAATGGACTAACAATTGGTATGAAAAACGTCAGTCAGCATTTTATTCAATGATAAATTGTATTTGCTGACAAGGTCATTGTATCGACCATAGAATTTACGAAATGATGACTTTAAACGAGACTGTTGATATTCTTGTTTCATCAACTTCATGCTCTTGCGTATCGAATCAACTGAGATATAAATACTCCGTATGCAGGTGATGAAGGTATATTGCTGCATAAGTAAGGGAAGTTGACTATAGAAAAGTTAAAGCCATCACGTTTATCGTATAGCTTGGTTGTTAGATTACCATTAGTGTCTTTGAATACAATATGTAGTTTTTAAATTTCTATTCAAAGTTGCACAAAAAATAGTATTTGAATTGAAAAATATTTGTATAGAATAATAAGGATGGTTTCAGAAGGGTAGAATTTGAACGTCACGGGTTAACATTTTCCTAATATTCTAGAATTTATTATTTGTATCATTTTCAATGAAATTAGGCTAAAAATACATACCAATCCAGACATCCATTTTTTTTTTACATCATTTGTCTTTAAGGGGAGCGACTGGGGTCAATCTCAAAGTCCAAAAAACAATATAAAAAAAGATCAGAGCAAACACGGACCCCCAAAACATCCGAGATGGGATCAGGTACCATGGAGGAGTGAGCATCCCCTGCCGACCTGTCACACCCTCCATGTGCTCCTTGTCATGATCAGGAAATAACGGGAAAATTCCTCGTCGATTCGATGTATCAATAATGGACTAACAATTTGTATGAAATACGTCAGTCAGTATTTGATTCAATGATAAATTGTATTTGCTGACAGGGCCATTGTATCGACCAAAGAACTTAAGAAATGATGGCTTTAAACGAGACTGCTAATATTCTTGTTTCATCAACTTGCTTTCACTAATTTACCTCGTTTTTGAAATTGTTCATACGTAGAATATGCTCTTGCGTATCGAATTAACTGAGATATATATACTCCGTTTGCAGATGATGAAGGCATACAAATGTATTGCTGCATAAGTAAGGGAAATTGACGATAAAAAGTTAAAGTCGCTATATCTAAATGTTGAGTTGTAGGCCACAGCAAGTGTTTTCTTCTTTTCACGCATAAGATTTTGCATGAATTCTGCTTCATAGGAATATGAAAGTTAGTCTGCTTATAACGGAGTGCAATTTGTACCCGTGAGATTTCCAATAGATTGTTTGAATACCTGGTCTCCAAAAACCACATAAATCCATCAAATATTAGGAGTTTGGCGCAGAGCACAAGACTTAGGCGTGACCATCGGAACTTTGACTTTTGAGTCCTACATGTGCATATATAAATTACTTATGTTTATAAATATAAAGGAAAATAGGTCTTAATAATGTTTTATTTGGAATAGGTAATCTGGTATTCGGGATTGATAAGATAAGAGTATATATCCATTCTGTATGGGTGTTACAATTAGAAATTTCAATATAAAACCTGTGGAGATAACGAGCAGTATTTAAGCTCAAAGTCCATTAAACAATACAAACTAGGAACAGAGCAAACACGGACGTCCAAAGCATCGGAAAATTATATTAAAATATTCAAAAACTTGGAGAAAAAAACATTGTTTGTTCAGGCTTTTTGATATCATTGACAGCTATTTTTTTCAATAAAAATGAATTCATTCTAATTGTACACACGTACTCTGAGTTCTACATAGAAAAAAGAAGTTTGAGTTTCTGGTTGACAATATTCATGTTGTTTTTGGAGACCAGGTCTTCCAACAGCCATTGGATTTCCCATGGATACCAACTTCTCCCCATTATTAGCAGACCTATTTTTGTATTCATATGAAGCAGAATATTTTCATTTTATGGATGAAAAGGGATCACTTGCTTTGGACTTCAACTCGATGTTTAGATATATCGACGACGTATTTGTAATAAACAAATGTAAAATCCAGTCTTATCTGGATAAATCCTCATGAGATTGAGATAAAAATTACCATATCCGAGGGGGACTGAATTAACTCCTTGAGTCTTTTTTCCCTTATAGATTCAAATGAATGACGCC